TGGCTCTGCCTGCAGGTGCAGTGTCTCTGGGTGGCTGTCAGGGCAGGTGCAGTGGCTCTGGATGGCTCTCAGGGCAGGTGCAGTGGCTCTGGATGGCTCTTGCCCTGCCCAGCCCACTGAGGCTGCCCAGGTGAGCTGAGAGCTTTACCTGGTCTGTGCCAGCCCTGGGTCAGGGCTCTTGCAGTGTCTCCAAGCCTGCTCTGTGCTGTGCAGACATACTCCTGGTAATCCAGCTGTCAGTGCTGATGCTGATTTAGGGACAAGGGATCAACTCCATATTGCATATTAAGCCCAGGGGCTCACTTCTACATTTGTGGCTATGACTGACTCGCATGAACCTGACTGAGTTACTCATGCTCTGCCCAGAGAAACTGGTCTGATTCTATTTGGGTTGAAATGTCCTTTCTTCTTTTTAAATTGATATTGTTTGCCATATTTCCAGGTTTGATCACTCTTGCAGCAGGCAATTTATGCACTTCAGAGTGGTGTTGTTTTTATTTTTTATGAATCAAAATTTCCTCAGAAAACCTTTCACTTGAGGTTGAATGAAAAATTCTGTCTGACTTTGAACAAGATATTTTCCTTTGTTTTTATAGGGTTTGAAACAGTCTGTTTTCCTTGTTATTGCAATTAAACTGTAGCCAATTACAGTATGATTTCTTTCCAGAACTGGTTCCTTTTGCAAACTTCACCCTGTCCCCTAAAATCATTCACTGAAATTGGATTCTTTTTCTGCACTGCTGTAATTTTGTAATACTATAGACAAGTCACTTTCATCACTTTGTTCCTCCTTATGCTAAACAAGGGTAATATTGCACAGCTGAAAAATCTGATGAGCCTTAATTCATTGATAGCTGTAGCATGTTTCAGAATTGTGTCAGAATTTTCTCAGTTGCATAGATCTGCAGGGGAATATTCAGAATTAACACTAAAAGACACTAAAGAAGAGCATAATTTTGTGTTGACAAAAAAAGGCTAAGTGAGTGGCACTCCCTGCCGATGCTTTAATTTCACAAATCCTTGTCTGGAGACCTTTCTGCTTCTAAATTTCTGAAGGATCTCCAGGATTTTAGCTGACTGACTTCTATTTGACTTTAAAGGGAGATCTGCATTTTAAACACTATGCAATATTTTGAAAAGTTCCTCATGATGTCCAGACTAGCATCACATTAAATCTGTCCTTGGCAATGGCAAATGATGTTATTAATATTCAGTTGTAGCAAGATGGATTCAAACAGGGGGAGGGTAGGGGGTGTTCTTTGGCATGGTTCTTGGTTGTTAAGAAAGTAATAAACCTTCCTTGTCTCTGATTTTATAATGGACAATAACCATTAACTGATCAACGGAAGAAATGTCAGGTGTGGAATCAATGCTGATAGAAAAATATTTCATCTGTTTACATTTACGAAGGATCACTGATAAAACCTTTGATCCCATTAAGGATATAAACTCTTCACATATAGTCGATGACAAGTCTGATGAGCTAGCTGAGCTCCACCAGCCTCACTGTGCTTAGTGAATGTTCAGCTAAAAAGGGATCAAATTGACTCATGAATTTCAAGATTCCTAGGAAATTACCATTGTGAGGTGACCCAGTTTTTTGATTAGTGTCATGAAAAGACAGGTCTCACTGAGAAATAAACGTAATAATGTCAACCATGCGCTTAAGTTCTTCTTTCCGTTATACACATTCGCTTTCAAATTGTTTTGTCATTTTAGCATAAACTGTACCACTTGCTTTCATCTGAGAAACACAAGCTTAGCATAGTTCTGTGCAGAAATCAAAGATGAGCATGGAAAAAAGGCCCCTCTTTGCCTATTGAATCATTGATCAGACAAGCACAGTAGATATTTGCATGGATCCTCAGTAGTTAGGCCTCAGTAGCTGCCTTAGATAATTGTTGAAAGGGAAGGAAGTAAAGAGGAGCAAATGTAGACATTTCATCCATCTGTTTTTCCCAGTAATGACAGACTTACTTATGGGTTGCCCTCTCACTTCTGTCCTTCTTCAAGCACAGAGGAGTCACCAACTGATAATGGTATTGATAATGTTATAACTTTGGAACCATCTAGTTTAAACCAGAAACAAGAAAAAATGAAATGAACTGCTTTCCCTTGTTAGCAAATGTTGGGGGAAAATTGTCTGATTGGGCTAGAAGGACATTGAGAAAGAAAGAGAGAAGCAAAGGTTCAGAAATGGCATCAAATCTGATTTGCAGTGGGACTAATTTCATGTTATGTTATTGTCTCCTCAAAAAGCCATTTGATTGAATTGGAAAATACATGTGAAAATACTAAGAACTCTGAAAGTCTCATGAAGTCTTCATAGTGACCACGCTATGGTCAGTCACTGGCTGTTAGTTGAAACCATAGTGTTCCCATCTTCCCATGTCACTGAGGGCTTATCAGTCCAATTAATTTTTTGGGATGTGGTCATCCAGACCTCTATTTCTTACACCATGTCTGTGACATTTTTGATCCTCTCTTTCAGTGTTTTCAGCTCATGCAGTTCTCTGCTCCTGCTTCCCTGTACAGGTGCAGAGAACATTCTGTGCAGGAGAGGCCCCTGTCACAGCCAGAGCACCTGAGGAAAGCTGCCTCTACAAGGAGAAGGTCAGTTCTTTTCCCTCCTCATGAAACATCCTGTCTGCTCCCCTCAGCACTCATGGCAGCTCAGTGGAGAGGGGCTGTTGAGTATGGCCAGATAAAGCAAAGGAGATTTGCCTTAGTAAGAGTGAGGTGAGAAAGTCATCCTTGGCTTATGGGTTTATGACCCTCACAAGTAGCTTTAGTACAAAAGCAGAAGCAACAAAATTTAGTATTATTCTGTTAAGAAGACAGAAAACCAAAGGAGTTTGAAAAAGTGGAATAAAATCTCTTTAGGTTGGCTAAGTGAAAACAAAGGAGGGAACATCATAATGTACAATCACAGCTCTTCCTCAGTGTGGCAGCAGCATCTGTTAAAAAATGCAGGACCCTTAAAACTGGCAGGGAACTTGGAAAGTCTGGTTTAGCTGCAGAACTGGGCTCTATCATAGAGACAAGGGCTTCAGCCAGTTGCAATAGAGTTTCCTATTGAATGCTGAACTACCAGTGGCTGTGGACTCTGGTATCTTCACCTTCTCTCTCTCCTCTACTGTTTCTCCAGTGCTTCCTGGCTATGTTAAAAACTCATGCTTGGTCCTCTGAGATAGCCTTTGACTGTGATTGGTGTTACAAGCCACCTCGTGATGGGCTGCAGTAGAAAAAGCAGTTGCCACTGGAGGTGAACACAAGGTGAGATAAAAACTGAACAAAAATATGGCATTGTTCTTTTTAAACTGAAAATCCAAGTCCAAGGTGTGAACAGCATAACCTTCGAATAATAAATGTGCAGACAAACCTTTCAGGTGCACTATGAGAGCTATTTGGGAAGACATAACTGCAAGCCTCTTCAGTTAGATGTAGTGATTGCATAGATGTAGGCTGCCCCAGCAAAATGTCTTTTCATGACCAAGGCAGAGGATTTCATTAAGAGTGCTGTTATGTTTTCACTGCCTACTTAATTTTGCTTTCTGAGGCTCTTCCAATGTCTCAGTTCCCAGGAAAGTATGTCAGGAAGAATTTTCAATTCTTCCCATGGCATGTACTTTTGGTGGAGATTTTATTTTATAGAAATGTAGAAGCTCATTTCTGCCTAGTGTTATTTGGGTGGCAGAGGTCGAGCTGGGAGGGAAGGCACTCCAAGGAAACAACACCCTCTTCATAACAACCATTAGGCAACAGGCTCAGCTATCACTGGTACACAAAATTTCAGCTTGTTTAACTGCCTACATCTCTCTCTGAAGTTAACAGTAGAATAGCCAAGTAGAAATCATTCCCCAGATGTTACAAGTGCTCTGAAATATGTTTGAAACTATCTAAATACTTTACACTTCTTATAAATTCATATCTTGATCCCAGAAGAGGATCCAGTGCACTCACCATGGACTAATAAACATTTAGAAAAGTTAAATTACTTAGAGATATTTAAGTTTCATACAAATATGTGTAAAGTGTAGACACTCTCCAGCATAAAACAGAACCTGCAAAGATCTTTGTTTATTTAATTGCATTTTGGTTCATCCATTTAATAAAGAGGATCATTTTTTAACCTCTCCAGTAACAAACAGTATTTCAGATTCTGTTACAACAGGCTGGAGAAAGAGAAATCTTAAACCGAGGGCGTTTAGTCACCTGCAGAGTAGGAGAGATTGAAAAGGAAAATAGATTTACTGCCTTCCACATTAGTCTGAAGGCAATTTGTGTTTGAATTCCTCTTAAATCAATTTCTGAATAATATTAGTTGTCTGAAATGATGCAAAATTATATTGGAATTCAGCCCCGTTTTGCCGCACAAAGAAATTCTCTCTCTTCGTCCTTGCTACTCTTTAAGTCATCTGTTTTCCCCTCATTTATTCTTTCATGATGTGCTCTGCCTGCTGACGAGTGAAATGTGAACAGGAAGTGGGAAGGAGCAGCCTTTGTCTCTCCTGCCAGTGTGCTTCATACATTTGGGAAGAAGCAGACCTGCATCATAAAACCAACCGAAAGCCACGGAGTTACCTCTCTAAAAAATGTAATGGACTGTACTGAAAGCCTAACTTTGACTGATGTGAGGTTTGGGACTTCATCCAGGTAAGAATTCATGCAGCAATGAGCACAGATAAGGCAGCTGACCCAGAGTAGGGCCAAACTGTTTACCAGCAGATGTGTTTTTGAAAATCTTCCTTAACTGGTCATGGCAGCGGAAAATACCCTGCTGTTAAACGCATCTGCAATCCACTGCGCTCCCAATCCACCTACAAAAATTCTGACCTTTAAAGAAATGATGGAGAAGCTGGTGATTTTTTCCATGGCATTGAAGCTCAGTCTATTTTAGGCTCCAAGGCAATTGCAGCCCTTTTTGCTCCCTATTTCACATCACTTTTAAGTCTTGTTCTGGCCACTATGAACCCTTCAGCACTTCTCCCTGTGCAATCACTCGAGTCAAGATCTGTGATTTGTGATTTGCAGATGACATGTACATTTCTTGGCTGATGGCTGTTAAAGCAGTTTGCAAACCTAAGGCAATAAAGTGCGGGGATGCAGTTGAAGCTTTCTATTGCCACACTGAATTGCCATTCTCATGTAAATGAATAATAAGTTCCTCTAGGACTGAAAATAATCTGTTGTAAATTTCTGCATTAATTTTTTAAGTAAATAATTTTGCCAATTATCATTATGTACCTTCTGTAGATGGGAATATCACATTTAACTAGTCTGTGTATCAAAAACAGTGATGCAGCTTGCTGTATAGGAAAAAGAAATAAACAATGCAGCTTCTGTGTTCACCCAATCTAGGTCCTTTAATCCCTTCAGTATGGAAATCTACTTATTACTGAGCTGCAGAACACAGTAACAATTCCTAAAGTGTTAACACAATTATTTATACATTTCTGATCATCTTTCATTTAAATATTTATAAAATACATACTGGGAAGTATGTACCTTTTAGAAAACTCGGTTCCTATGTCATTTTCTTAAAATATTCACTTCTCTTAAAAGATACCTAAAAAAAAACCCTGCTGGATTTTGTTTTAAGTGACACTATAAATGTACAAACAAAATGTAATCTTAAACAGAAAATAGTATTATTACCATCAGAAGGATTACTGTGGCTTGTTGTTCAGAGAGCAGGAAGCACAAGATGATTTTCTCACATACTCAGTCTCAGCTTGCAAAAAACCAAATATATTGAAGTGTCTTGGTCTTAACGTGCATCCTAAAGTCTACATATTGTATAAATTCCTAATCCTGTCAAAATGTAAGTCTGAAGATTAGCAGAATGTATAATAAATGATTCCATGTCATTACACATAAAAATAGTATTGCTAAATCAAGTGTGGCCCTTTATAAATGTAAAAAAGACCAACTTAAGCAGATTTGTGCTTTATAATTCTACAGCTCTGACTAGAAAAAAAGATTGACTAAAACAGATTTCCCATTTCTCTGATACAAATCAGTTTGTCTTCACACACATGCAAAAAGACATTGGAATAGATTTCTTTAGCATATAACTTAATATTTATTGAGATTTCTTGTACATTTAATTATTAATGCCAGCAGTGTTACAGTATTTCTGTGAGGTTGCTATTACTGACCCTGTACCTGTTGGGTTTTTCCCCCCCTCATATTATTTCCTCTACAAGCATGAAGGCATAGCACTTACCAATTATTTTGTGTGACAGAGTCAAAAAGACTTACGGTCACTAGGTCTCTTATTTGGCAGCATTTCAGGGCTTGTCATCCTACAAAATATACTTTAGTTTAATCATTTTATAGTTAGTGCATTTGGTACATTAATGATAAACATTTAAGGAACAACCACTTCTCAGTGTATTAAAATGAATCTTGTAGAAATGTGCAGTGAATCCAAAAGAAAATGTAAACCACATATATAGTACAAATAACCTAGACACAGCTAGGTTGTAATGTAATGGTGTAATGTACTACCGTTACAAGATGTGGTGATTTGGTCTGTTGGGGTAGACTATTACAGACACCTCCCTATAAAACAAGATCTTTTATTTTATTTATTATTTCCCATTAATGAAAGTAAATAATTTGAATAATATAGAAAAGGCAAATTAAAGACCTACTCTGTTGTATATATTATATACAATATATAACATATAGCATAATATATATAATATATAATATATAATATATAATATATAATATATAATATATAATATATAATATATACGAAGACTGTTAGGAATAATGTATGAACACATGCATTTTATGGAGTTGTGACACCTTTGTATGGCTTAAATGGAGAATAAGTCAGTAGTGATCTTGTTGGTGGAAAAATTGGGTATAGACAGTCTTTTTCCTCCCACACCTTTTAAATAACCCAGCCAACCAGAGAACTCAGAATGACTGAAGTCAGTAGACAGCTGCAAGATGCAGTGCTACTGAGCTTAGTAGCAAAACTCTCACTGACTTCAATAGAGGAATATTTCTCCCCAACATTTTCAAAGGTGCCTGGAGGGTGCACATCACCAACACAAGGAATTTTAAGGAGGTATTTCACACTGATTGAAAATCATATTTTTCAGACATGTCTTTTCCAGATGCTGAGATGTAAAAATAGCTCTTACAACAAGCGTTAAAATAGGGCAGCTCCTGTTCCTTAATGATGAAAATACCTCTCATCCACCTCTTGTGATCAGTTGCCACATTGTACCAGTTTTGCACATTCTTGAGTGTACTGATCCAGATTCTGAAGGTCTAACATCCACAGCAAGATTCCAGTCATTGAGGACAGCAGGAGCTCTGCTGGAGTCAAGCCTCCAGGACTAGACATGGATCCTACTCTTAGGCTCATTATTTCTTTCACTTGAAGAACTGAAAATGACCGAAAGAACTAACTATCATTTATAGAAGGAAATTAAATGTCTTGGTAATCTAAATCTTGGACTAAATTTGGAGCATATCTAGCACTGACTGTCTTGGACAGGTACTATTAACACATTTATTGAGCAGGACTGAGTGAATCTGACACAGAGGCAATGGGAGAGGAAGTAATGAAGACTGAATTTAAAAGCACAGTACTGTAATATCTCATTATTTTCTCTCTAAGTTCACTTGGAGTAAACCTAAGAAAGTCAGGAGTCTCCCTTTGTGCATGCCAAGGAGCTTCTTCCTAATGCTTGTTGTTTGGGGAGGGAAATCATCTGCCTTTTCCCTGCTGCCTGGGAGCAGAAGCACCACCCGGCCCAATTGCCTCCCTCCATGCACAGGGCAGTGTGACTCCAGCAGTTCAGTGGACAGAAGAGGTTGAATCCCTCACTTGCAGAGATCCATTTTCAGCCCTTCTTCCCCACTGCTGCCTGACCAGAGGGGCAGTGAGAGCTCAGCAGGGTCTGCTGCAGGGCAGAGGGAGCCAAAGAGTGGGGTGTAGGACCGGGGTGGCAGGGATGGGTGACACAATGCAGCTCCATAATTTGTTACTCCCCAGAATTCCTCGTGTTTGAAGTTGCACTGTGGCTGTGGGAGCTGTGTGGTGTTCATGAGGAGGTGTTCAGCAGGAAAAGAAAAACACCTGTATCAAGCTGTACTCTGGGAGAGCTTCAGGCAGCTCATTCTTTCTGGACCTTCTGCGAGCAGTCCTGTAAGGGGGCTTAAATGACCTTATGAGAGGGATCCAGGTCTTAAAGTCAATACATCAGCTATGCTTTATCAGGGAAATAGGCAGGAGAATCCTCAGTGTCCCAGTTTCAGTTCCTTGAAGGAAGCCAGCCTCTTTGGAAAAGGGTCCAATGGCATGCAGAGGTCTATGCTAAATCAGGGCATGTTTTTCCCCCATTACTCTTTCTCTGGAAAATAACAAGCAAATCAAAATCTTATATGGGGGAAAAAATGTGAATGAGTATTCCATTTGGGTAAGGGTAATATTAAAATATTTTTGTTTCAGTATTCTTGAAACTAAAAATTCCAGTGTTGGAAAGCTTTTTTTAAAACAAATTTTCAAGTACAGGCTTTAAAACTAAACTTAAAAAAAACAGAACCAACTGAAAACAAAAGAAAATACTAGAACCATATCAGAAATAACTGTTCTGCATGATCCAGACAGAAAATTTCTTGGTCTGGATAAAATTTCTTATCCATTCCTTCAGTATTATAGGGAGCTTTTTTCAGAATAGAAACCAGACAATCTCTAAGTACCACCGACTGTTCAAAACAAGCCCTTACATGCCATTTGCAGTAGGACCAGTGCCCTTGACCCTGTACTTACCAGCACAGGATTCAAGGGTTTAATGTGAGAATGTATGTATATAATAAGAAAATAAGCCAATTAAATTATTAAAAGGTGACAAATCATTTGGCTTTGTTCAGTCTGTCTTAATTAATGGCCACTGAAGCCAACAAATATATTCCCTCTTTGGGTAAATTTTGGTTTTGACTGTATATTTTTCTTTTGTTATAGGAGATGCTGGCATGTCAGAGTCCCTTTGATGAGCAGAGTGTAGTAAGCAACAGACACTGGGAAAATACTTCCTATCTGTTAGAAAAAGGTGACAGTTTTCAAATAGATGATACACGATTTAGTTTTGTTGGTGAGTTATGTACACTGGGTTTCCCATTAAATCTATAACAGGATACACATTTATCATGGTAACGAGATCATCACTTAATAGAGCTGCTAATATTCCCTCTCAGGATATATAGTGGTAAATATGCATTTAAAAATAATAATAAAAAACCTCAATGAATCTTTAAATGCATTGTGTTCATTACAATATTCATTAAATAAGGAAATGAATAGCAATCAGAGAAAGCATGATAGATGAAGAAAGGAGCTGTAGCACAGAACAATGATCTGGGGAATATCTCTGATGTGGTGATTGTTTTCTTCCAGCATGCTCTTTAGTGTTGCCTTTACCCCAGAAAAGCTTTCAGATCCCAGCTGCTTCTATATTGATGAGTATGGGGAACAGAACAAACTCTAGCTGTGAATGTTCGATCAATCTTTATATAGGTAAAATTGCCACTCTCCAGCTGATTTATGTAATGATTTTAGTTTGTGCCAGGAAAGCCGTAACAGAAATCCACTCCTGTGCAATTAATTGTTTAAATCAGATACACATCCTTGCTGCACAGGATGCTTATGCCTAAATTTTGTAGGAGACAAGACTATATATCTTGAATAAATGATGGAGAAACTGGTTGAAGCTTACTTTCTGCTATCCAGGTGCCAGAGTCGCTTCTTGCCTTCTTCAAATATAGTCTATTTAATCTCCTGTAGTGTAGGAAATTATGTTCAAAATCTCTGTGATCCTCTCTCCCTACTAAGTTATGCAAGTAGTGACAAGTATACACTGTAAGTCTTGAGATTTTATCTTTAATGTGTGGCTACACACTGTTGATCAAGAGAGCCTGGTAGAAAAACATTATTTTCAGGTGTGAAAAACCGTCACCTTTATCAAATAATTTCTCTTGTATCTCTCCCAAGGCATTGTACCCTATTTAAACTTGGGAGGTTAAGTTTGTAGCATTCATTATGACTGAAAATTTAGTTCACACAATCATGATATTCCCTTTATTAAGTGTTACTGTTAAGCATTATTAAAATAATGTGGTTGGCCTTTTGAAAGGTTCACAAGATATTTATTTCTTTGTCTTGTCTCTTAATTGCATCTGCTTTTTAAGATTCTGATGTGCAAGCTAATGTTGCTGCTCTATGCCTTGTTTGCCACATATTATCTGATTTCTCTATGCATATCTTACAATTTATAGACCTCTCATAAGGTCTTACAGCTCTGCCTGATGTGTATAATTGAAATGCTGATGGGTGATGTAAATATCTTTTGACAGAGCTATGTCTTGAATCTTTGGTTGGTAGGTTTCCTTGAACCTCAAAACAAATCAAAATAAATTTTGGCAGATAGCCTGGCAGTTTTACTGTACTTAGAAAAATGGATTCTGTAAGAATCTTCACTCATGCCATTAAATGAATTATTAGATAGAATAACAACAAGTTTCAGAATCCATAGCAAAAGTTATTCCTGTATCCAGATACCCCTACTAAAAATGCCTCCCTCATCCTCTAGTCCTCTCCCAATCTGATTCATTTTATGTAAAACCTTCAGCTCCTGTTCATCACTACCCCTTGACAAACAATTAGTCTCCAGCCTTCAGAATAACTGTTCTTTTGTTAGTAATTTGCAATGTCCACCATCATGACCTGTAAAGCTCTGGAAGGATATTGATCTAACCATGCTTTCTGCAAGCAGAGTCCTGAAGGGGTGCTGCAGTTAAACTTTGGGGGAACTCCTCATGCAATCCCAAGTGCAGGACTCAGGATGCCCATGGTAGGTCTGTGTGATGTGGAATGCTGTCCTACCACCCACTGCCACAGAGTGGGCAGCACTTCAGGAGCCTGGGAAGGAGCCAGGACTTCCACTAGGAAAGGCAGGTTCCTGTGCATCCATGCAACCCTGCTAACCAGCAAAACTGATACATAGATAAAGAAATTTGTCTCAGCATCTGTCCAGAATGGGATAAGTGAATGTGTGTTCAGAAATGTTGTTCCTCCCTCTTGCTAGGGGTGAGTTAGCTCTGTATTGCCTCTCACTGTTGGCTGCAGCTACGGGGTTATCATCAGACAGACATTTGTTACTTGTGCAAGATCACTTACTTGGACTGAAAATCTGCCCACAACACCATGTTCATTGTGCAAATTGTGCTGTTCTCTCCAACCAGCCAGGAAATAATCTGGGCAGCAATCCAAGCAGGCACCATAATTCTGCTTTTGGGCAATAGCTTCTACGTTTAGAAGACAGTTGATTAATCATTGCTCCTTTTCTCTCTACATGCAGGTCCTTTTCAAGACTGAGATATCAAGGCTCACATGTTCAGAGGACTTGACATCAGTAAGAGCTGCCACAGACCCTTTACAACAGACTAATCAAAATGAAAAAACCCAAACCTGTAGGAGGTGAGAATCAGATCTTTCTGTGGAAAAAGACAAGGCCTCTAACATTGACTCCTCCACTCCATTGGCCACAAAGCCTATTCTGGATAGGGAAATGGAGATGTTGCTGAGTTCTTTTAATAGAAGTGGAAGCATCAAAAGGTACCCTTTTTTTATTATTTATTTTTATTTTTATTTTTTGAAGATTATCAAGTGCTTAGGGGAGAAGCAGACAGTCAGCAACATCAAAACCTGATGCAATTCTCCTGAAAGGCCCTCTGATGTACTGGAAATACCACATCTCCACTCCTGGGACCCAGTGTAATTATCAGGGGAAAACAGAGTGATTTCCTAACTATTGACTTCCCATAGGTCTAGGTCAATGTGGCCTGATGGTTTTCAGCAAAAGGCTCCCAGCAGTCTTTAAAAACTGACAAATCATAGAGCTGTGTGTTGTGGCTTGTGAGCCAGGAGGGCGTGGGACATCAGCTGCCATGGAAGGAAGGTGATGTTACAGGGAGTGGAAATAGACTCTCCTTGGCTGCAGGACTTGTCTGCTGAGCTATGACTGCCATGGCAAAACCATTTACTGCCATCAAGAGGCAGCTATGGGAGAAGAATATGAAATATGCTGTTTCTCATCCAGTGTTTCCCAATGACCAATTTATTATTTTCACCCTGTCCAGCACTATGGAAGGGTGCATCAGGGATCTGCCTTTCTCTGCTCTGAATAACTTAAGTCAGGCTGCAACATGTGAAATAATTGAGCTGACCAGAATTTACAGCTCTAGGTGGAGTTTCTTCTGTCTGTTGGGTTTGTGAGTCATGACAATAAGAGCATGATGCAAAATGTACATGCTCATTTCTTCATCATTTTTCATTTTCTTGCTGTTTTATGACTCAGATCAGCTCTAGCATGGTCCAGCTCTCTTAGGCAAGAGTTTCTACAATGATTAGGTATCATCTTTAAAAATTAGAGCAACAGACAGATCATGTGAGCCACGCTCTTTCATTTTTCACTCTGATCTTCACATAGTAAGTCCCACATGACTTTCAGAGAGGCCTGTCTTGTTTAATGTGGACTTTGTTGGGCTGTAATTTATTTTACTTAATTATTTATGGCTACATTATGTATATTAGCTGCACTTGTCTAAATAACAAGGGTTGCAATGGAAGACTGCCTGTTCAGCTGATTAATTCCTGTTACTTTCTGCATTTCTTAAGGTGATTTTGTGATGAGTTTAGATTGCTGTTTATTGTTCCTAGCAAGAGCACTCTGAGACAACCCAGAGTTAGAATAGGCACCAGCAGAACTTAAATGGACACATAAGATTGGATCTGTTCTGCACTTAAAAATTATTTCAGATGGACAGGGAGGTGTTTGAGAATTGAATGAATAAAAGATCACTCCAAGCTAATTTTTTTTTTTTAGTTAACAGTACATTTAAATCAAGAGCTCATTTTATTTCTTACAGTTTTGAGACTTCTTCATTTTTTTAATATTCTATATTTCATTCATGAAAGTAAGAGAGTGTACCACATAATAAATGGAAACTTACCCAGAAAAAAGAAATAGATTGAGAGATTGGTTTCTGGTCTGACACATTCTTTTGTCTGCTTCTTACTGCTTGCTAACAGCTTGCAGCCATGGCAGGCAGCTAGCAGACCAAGTGCAGATTAACCATTTAATATTTATTGATAGGAAAATACCCTGAGCACACTTTTAATATGGGTTCCTTGGACATAAGGGCATCAATGGCTCTATAAAATGTAAATAGATTCTTAATTACCTCAAGTGCCCCTTCTGCCCAAGTGGCTCTTTCACATGAAATACATCTCACTGGTAATGAGCCCGAATATTGCTAATGGACTGTCAAGGGCATATTGTGGGATCTTTTCTTCTTGGGTGCCACACTGGCAGTGTGGAGGGTTTGCTGCTTCCTCAGTTCAGGGAAGATCTCAGGTTGGATTTTCCCACAGCAGGGAGCTCCTCCTAAATGAAGATCACCACAGTCTGGGTCTGACTGTCTCTGTATTTCTTACAATCTGTTTTGGGCTCTCGATAAGAAAGAGACAAAAAGTAAGTCAATAAGAGGAGACAAAAGTACTTTGCAATGTATTATAGCTTTCAGGGGTTTTTTTTTCCCAAAGGAAATATTTCCCCAGAAATTCCTTTCCTTTTCCTGCTGCCCATTTCTGTCTCAGGAACAAGCTCCACTCCTGCTTTTTAGCCTGTCTTAGAAATATCATCTCACACTTCTCCATGGTTGGAGTTCATTCATTCAGTTCTCACACTTTAAGGTGTATGTTACATCTTGAAAACGTCTAGTAGAGGAACTCAAACTCTGAGGAAGGAAATTGCTGGATTTGACGTATGTTGGGCATATAACCATGAAAGAAACTGTAAGGAGCAAAAAATGGAATTTCCAAATTTTTTTCAGAATAATGTGAGTCAGTTTATAGGCTGTAGAGTGAAATATATATAATTTAATGGGCAGAGAAAAGAAAAGGACCATCATGCCTATTTTGAGAGTTGTAGATTGAGAGAAATTGGTAAAAAGAAATTGTCTACCTCACACTGCTGCACATTGACTTAGAAACTGTGTGCTGACATTTGAGTTGTGCATGTCTTTCTTGAAAACCCGTGTGAGGGCAGATGATAAAAAGCTCTGAGAGATAAAAAGCATCTTGAGAGAGATTCTGGCTTGGCTCTGCTGCATTGTTGCCTGCAAAAATAAGCCATATGGTTCTAGACTAAAGAAAGAATGGGTAATTGTAGGCTTGGAATGGGAAGGATGATCTGGCTGAACAGTGATGTCTCTGGGACAGCCTCCAGCTGGGGCATCAAGGGCAAGCACAGTTAATGTGTTTAAGGTGCAGCTTCAGCTGTTTGGGAGGGAGTGTATGAGGACCACAATGCAGCTCACTCACCCAGAAAGGTCTTTGTGGCCTTGTGTTTATTTGTAAAGCAGGCATGCTGTACTACCAGCAGCTGTGGGAGGATGCAGTCATTAGCTGTGGAAACTGCAACTGGTGCAGCCTCACATAGGATGGAAATGTCAATGGGTATGTGGAAACTGTGCATGTTTCTGCCAAGGGCTGGAGAGGAGCTGAAAATGTGAAGGTGTCTGGGTTGGGTTCACTTCTTCTGACACACCCTCATGTCTTCTGTACACTATGTGCTTTTTCAGAAGGATGCAGCTTTTAATTAAACAGTGCCTGTTTCTCCATTTTTATTCCTTGCTCAAAAATCAAGCTGCTGTGTGGAAAGTGGGCAAAGAGGGATAAATTAATGTGTCAGAGTGATTTGGTCAAGACTTTCTAAGCAGTTCTTCTGATGCTTTCTGTGATCCTCAAGAGAGGAGAAATCACTTTATTCTATCATAGTCTTACAATGACTTTGAATAGTGAGGATTATGTCACCCTGTAGATTATGTCAGCCCAGACAGTGGCCTTGGACTCCCTTGTTGTGCTCTCTTTTGTCTGCTGTGGTTTGTAGCTGTGCAGAGCTTCTCCTGGGGTTTCTTGGATGTGACCAGGTCATGCTGCTGCAGCCATGGCACTGAATGTCCACGGATGACTGTGAGCATAGGAAAAATTGAAGGCAAAGAAAAAAGATGTGAGGAAGGAAAACCAGGAAAAACTGGGGCAGAAAGGCAACTGATCTAGAGAACTTGCTGAGTTCCTTTGGAGGAGACTGCATCCAGTCATGGAGAACATAAAGTATTTCAGAGAGAAAGTAGATTTGCTCTTTTTGTTCCTGTGTTATAATCAGATATGTATCTCATTTAGTTTTCCCTCTTCTTCCCTTCTCTGCAGATATATAAACTTGGTAGTTGGAAGTTCATCATGCTTCACAAAATTAGCACATCTGTAATTTATATGCCTTTTAACTTCTAGTTACATTTCATAATAGAAGAGCTGAGGTTCCCAGCAAATCATTTATGGTACCAGAAAGCTGTGGGAGAAGATTGCTTACTTCCTAATTCAGTGTGACCCAAAGAAGTGAGAGAAATAACTCAGGGCTAAGTTGTTTTCTCTGGAGTGTTCTATACTGGAGTGGCCCACAGCAATAAGTGCTTAAGTGGCATAAGGGAATAGAGGAAGAGTATATAACCAGAGATGATATCTTTTCTAATAGCATTTTTAAGAATTAAAGAATATGACTTAGAAAATAGGATAACTGAAGCACAATGAGCTAGAAAAGGAGCTTTTTCATTAGGGGACAGACTAATGAAAGACTAAAGTTCTCCGTCAAGAGTTTTACTTAGGAATGACTTTTTTTTCCCAAATCAGCCTCTTCCATACTTCCTATAAACTCAGAAACAGTCCCTTTGTAATGTTTATGTCTATATAGAGTACTCTGAGTTTTGGGGTTTTTTTGAATAAGATAGTATAGCATGTAATGAACATCTAGCAAAACCATATGGGTCAATTATCTCCCCTTGGATTATGAACCTTGAGAAAGCATAAAGCAGTTCTTCAAGGCTCTGTGTATCTGGTGGTGTCATGTAAAATACCTGGAGGAACATTTGTGTTTTTACACAAATTCATTTTCCTAAACGTAGAGAAATTTCTATACCAATTTTGGAAATGTGCATTAACACATAGACTCATTGTTGCAGGAACACTTGATCTGTTGATTTTACTTCCATGGTGGACTCTTTACAGTCTGTATCATTTCCACTCCACTTCACTGATGGTGGAAAAGCTTTTTTCATGGTTTATTTAGCAGAAAGTCATTTTGATTAGCAAGATGAGTAATACTTTACAGCTGTTTGCAATTACTGCATCTGTTCTATCAGTGGATTCAGATATTGGAGGCTATATTGACAGAAATGCAAAATGCAATAGAAATGAGTACAAGAGGGGACACATGGACACACATGCACACTTGGTGGGTCTAGTCATGTAAAGAGAAATCAAACAGCATGTTAGTCTCAAATCTGTGCCACAAACTCAGAGCTGGATTTAATACATTTGAAAAGCAGAATTTCTTGTTTGC